CAGCCGCTGAATATGCAATGCTGTCCTGTGTAACAGCTGAAGACCTCTGCCCCCACCCCAACCCCCACAAAGCTATCAAGACCACTGGAGCCTACTGGGGTAATCATCCAGATAGCTGCTAAGTCTCTGACATTTGAATCAATACAGAGACCATTTGGTTGATTCTTTCTGCTATAATTTATCCTTCTCAAATCTCTGATGATATTGATGGCTCTCAGTAGTGAGAATTTTGGTTTCTTTAAAACCACAGAAATGTTATGTGAATATGTTTTGTTTCGATCCCAGCTACAGGACATGGAGCTGCTTCAGACTGTCACAGCAGGTAACTATGATTCGTCTCGTGCTCTGGCAGGGGTGTGATTTTACCAGCTGAAGATAGTTTACTTTGGAATTCTGAGGACTCTTCAGAGGGTATATAAATGCCAGAATCCCAAAAGAGGTGGGGCTCCTGCTGCCCTTGCTGCTGCTATTTGCTGGTTGGAGATGTCCTGATAATGTAGATTGCCCTAAGGAACTTGATGCCCCTAATCAGCAGGAAGTAGTCTAATGATATCCACACCCCTTTCCCACTATAACCTTCTTTGTCTCCTAGTGTTGGAAGTTGGAAGGCTGGAGAAGGTGGTAAGGAAAAGAACCCAATAAAGTAACTAAAAGTCTGACAACAGCTAACTAATTTTGTTAATTTGGCAGCAACTGGTAACCAGCTCCTTCACCAAGGGGTAAAAATCGGGCCTTGCTTTTTCTAGAGTTACTGGGTCTCCTGCTGGGAAAGGCAGACAAGCTTGCCTTGCTAACAAGCTTTATATTAAAGGATAAACAGGTTTCAGATATCAGTTTTTACCGTTCCTTTATTTAAAGGAACTTGCTTTGTGATCACTGCCCTCAGTAAGAACTACTTATGTCTCTGCCCAATGATTTAGATGGAGGATTTGAAGTCTGTCTAAGTTACAAGGATCTAAGAAAGCAACTTCTGTGGATGTAAAAACTTATGTAAGTTCTGAAGGGCTAAGGAAATTATTTAAGATATATGAAAAAAGAGAAAATAAGAAATATTTCAGATTTCTTTCCCCTTCTGTGCTATTGTTGTTATGCTGTGGTTTCACAAGTTCCGAGTTTTGACATCGATCAGTGGTATTCTGATAAACTGGAAAAGCACTGATTACTACTACCAGTCACAAGCTCAAGATTTGAAATTTCCTTTGGTTCTCTTTTAAGTATAGACTTAAAGGTACTTCTCACATCCAGGCTATAAATACCTCTGTTCAATCTATGTATCCAGCCTCTGAAGAGAGAAACAAATGTTCATACTTTTTAACCCAAACCCATAGCTTTTGCTGTGCCTCACAGGCATGCGTCTACTCCAGCTGTTTACAGGCACTCGTTAGCTGCTTCTTCTACAATGTGGATTTCAGTATAGATGTCAAACAATGATAATGCTACTAAATCTAAAATTTTTATCTCTTTTTGTAAACTTAAAAAATTCATGTAACTTCAGGGAGTTGGGGAAGTTGTTAAGACTCGGATCTACCCCTCACAGGTCAAACAGACTGTAGATAAGTACAGCCTAGATGCCTATTCCTGGAGATGGGGTTATCATTCCCTCCTCCACCCTCCCCCATCTTGGGATTCCTTTCCTCTCCCTAGCCACCAGGACCAGGGTCCTGAAAGCTACAAATGTAAGATTTTTTCATTTAAGTTTTTTTAACTTTAACTTCTATCCCTAGTCTTTATCTGATTCAGCAGATCTCCACTTTGCTGACAGATACCACCTAAAAATCAACCGTGGACAAACTGCTCCAGTGACTTCAAGCCCTGGGCTTGCTGAAAGCTGATGTGACTCAGCCCAGCTCCCTTTTTCTTCGGCTGGGTCAGCTAACAAGATGCTTCCGATGAATGCTCCATTGCCAGAATCTCCTCCCTGCCTATGACTAATATTTAAGGGTGGGATAGCCCAGTGAAATGCCCTTGTTTGTTAGGAACATGTCTTTGGAACAGGAAATCTGGACTTCCTCTTTCTCTAGTACCAGATACAGAGTGAGCAACAAAGTGTTGTCTCAGCACAGGCTCCAAATTAACTGTGAGCCAAAGTAAATTTTTTCTTGTTTTTAAGATTTATTATCATTTTAAATTGCATATTAGGAGTGTGTGTACATGAGTGTTGGTGCCCTCAGAGCTCAGGTTCTCCTAAGATGGAGTTACAGACCGTTGTGAGCCATCTAGCATAGATGCTGGGGATGCAGCTTGGGTCGTCTGCTGGACCAGTGCACACTCCTAGCCAGTGACTCTTCTCTCCAGACCCAGTGTTTTTTCCTTGTAAACTGGATATCTCATGAATTTGCAGTAATAATAAAATGTTCCGTATGTTATTTTAAATGAACTAGCTTTCAATATCTGTCTCCTAAAAGGGTAAAGGGGGGAGATTTAGCTTTAAAATCTTTCCAGTCACCTCAGCCAGAGAGGAAGTTGCTTTTAACAATGAGGACGGAGTGTAATGATGACCTTGGCCATCTACTCAGAACTTTTATCTCTGTGATAACAAACACCAAGCAGCAAGACCTGATCTCTATCTAGACTAATCTAGGACTGTGTACACAGTCGCCTGTCCTGGGGTTAAGAATGGGAAGAGGGGGTGGGGGGCTTCTAAATGCTAACAGCACAGATTGACCCAAATTAACCACAATTATCATTCAAACCTTTCCCTGAAGCTCTAAGTCACCTAAGACCTATACAAGTCCCAAAAAAATGTCATCTCTACTGGCTACAGTGGTGGTCTAGATGGAAAACAAGTGTGGGGGCTTTCTCCTGGGTACCTCCCCAGAAGCTTCCCTTCCACCTGTGCTGGGTTTTAAACTTACTAAGTTCCATCACATCTACAACATGAAAAAAATAAAAATGCTTGTCCCCTGCTCCAAGTCACCCTCCATTGCGTAAAACAGTTGTCTATCAGACTGTGCCCTATCGGGACAGATTCTATTCTCAAATAATTTTTTGACACTGTCTTGAGGAGGGAGGATGACTCTGTACCAGTGTGGACATGTCCAGTATCACTCACACAGCACAAACAGATGAACTCCTGGGAGTAGAAAGGGTGTCACCCTGTCCATTTATCAGGGTGAATTGAGAATGAAGGATACATGGGCATATTAAAGGAAAAAAAAAAAAACAGACCTGAAAACTTACTGGATACACTAAGCCATAGCAAGGCAAACACTTAAAACTACAGTAGCAGTAACCCTCACTAACCTGTCAGCTGACCACCTAGTACGTATGTCAAGGAACAAACTGGCAGAACTTGTCACTGTCCCAGAGGCTTCAGCTTGGCTCAGTCCTGCCTTTGATACAGTCTATTAGAGTTACCATCTATCCACCACTCTGTTCTCCCATCCAGACCTGTCCATCCATCCATCCATCCATCTATCCGTCCATCCACCTGGTCATTCATCTTGACCCGGTCCTGCCCTTTTGCCTATACAGCTCCACTAGACTATAGCTCAGCTCTGACCTTGAACCCTATCGTTGGTATCTTGCCCTCTGCATTTCTATCAGCTCGTAGGCCTTCATAAACTAGCCACTCTTCAACCTACTCACATATACTCACAGATAGATAGATAGATAGATAGATAGATAGATAGATAGATAGATAGATTATGGATAGATGATTGTCAAATAGACAATAGATAAAAAGATGGTAGATAGATAGATAGATAGATAGATAGATAGATAGATAGATAGATAGATATCCCAGCTCCTCCTCTCCCATTAAGACCTGTTTACACTCCATCCCTATTGGGGTAAATTCCTATCTGACATCTCTTTACAGATACCTAAATTTGACATAAACCCCAGCTGGAATCGTAGGGCTTTATCCTCTCTAGCTCAGGGTTCCTGTGTCTGCGCATGAGAAGAAAACCATGGGAAATATGAAAAGATTTTAGAGGGTGGGATAAAAGATCATAGCTAAATACCGAATTTTCTAGACTTGTTAATCTGAGAAACTTGAGGGCTAGCCTCATCCCCTTCTACCAGGCAGCATGAATCTTGCCTCCTTCAACCTTCAGCCCAGACCAAGGTAGGGAGACTCTGACTTCCTGTGTATCTCTGTCCAGTTGATTCCTCTTGAAGGCAGGCCTCCCCATCAATATTTTTCCAAATCCCTTTCAACATCAAGCTCAAGGCCACTTGCATCAGAGAACCTTGTTAACCAAACCATTTCTTTAACATTTATCACTGTTATTGCCAAAGAAAGTGATATTAAAAACCCTCAAAATGCAGGTCTAGGGAGATGATTCGGTTGGTAAAATGCTTGCTGAATAAAGCACAAGAACATGACTTCCATTCCTAGCACCCACACGAGAGACTGGGCGTAATGGTATGCTCTTGAGACCTCAGGACTGGAGGCGGAGACAGGCAGATCCCTGGGGTTTTCAAGTCAAACTGGTTTAATCTGCAAGCCCTAGGTCCTAGTGAGAGATCCTAGGAAAGGCAAATCCCTGAGGCCGAATAACAGAGACACTGGAAGTGTAAGGACACTGGAAACACTGCCAGGATAGAAAGTAACTTCTGTGTTTAAATGAAAATAATAACAGAAAGGTTTAAAACTGGGCATGGAGACTCATGTGGATGACTCTCAGTACTTGAAAAAGAGGAAGAGGCAAACAGAGTTCAAGGCTAGCCTGGGCAATAATGCAAGATACTGTTCCCCAAAAACAGATTAGAAGGGGATGGAACAAGAAATAAGTTTGCATGCACAGCAGTTCTGTTCCTTGGCCCCACCTCTTATGACTGTGGACCTCAGATACAAAGAACACTGCACAGGAAGAAGTGCAGAGTTCCAGCAGCTGGAACTGGGGATCACTGTCCCTTCTTTGGGGATATATCTGGGACTCAGGAGTTCAAGAAACTTAATCAACCTGGCAGCTTTGATGTGGACACACTCAGTGCTGGGGTCCACACTAGAGTCATCTTCCTCTGATGTGTTATCTGCAGAAAAGAATCCTTACCTGAGAGTTCATTAGACGAATGGTAGTTTTCGTGCCCACATCCTGTTGGAAGTTGTCTGTAGGTGCCCCATTAAACCTCAGGACTGCATCATGATTATCTGAAAACCACAGGAAATGGAAAATGGGGGTGAGCGCTGAAAATATGCAAGAAGAGAGACAGAGGGAAAAGGAAGGCAGAGGGGAGATCAAAAGATACAGTGCACAGGGACTATTATAACATGAATGTGGTACCCACGGGTCTGCTGACCACTACAATAGACATGAGGTCCACTAACTGTAAAGTCCATTCACTGGCACCAGTGTGTTCAGACACAACAGAAAAAATGAGCAGGGCCAACAGGCTACTTATAGCAGAATCCTTTCCCAGTTATCAAAGGAACAAACCACACATTCACTAGGTATCACCAGTAGAACATATTTCTAGTCCTGCCAGATTATGTCGATTCTGTATCATATGTCCAATGCCATTAATGCGCTCTGAAACATGCACATAGTGCTTAGCACATAGAAGGGATTCACTGTGCCACTAAAGACAGCTCTGGAAAGGAATATCTTTTCTATTTAGGAACCAGAAGCTCATAGGAGGTAGCAAATCTGGTATGGCAGAAATGGGACAGGTCATAGTGTCACTTAAATTCCCAAACTGTGGGGTCTTTTCATTGTTTTTTTAAGTAAGTACAATGTTTGTATATGCTTGGCCCAGGGAGTGGCACTATTAGGAGATGTGGCCTGGTTGGAGTGGATGTGGCCTTATTGGAGTATTTGTGTCATTGTGGGCATGAGCTTTAAGACCCTCATCCCAGCTCCCTGGAAGTCAGTCTTCTCCTCTTTGCCCTCAGAACAAAATGTAGAGCTCTCAGCTCCTCCTGCACAATGCCTGCCTGGATGTTGCCATGTTCCCACCTTGATGATAATGGACTGAACCTCTGATACTGTAAGCCAGCCCCAATTAAATGTTGTACTTTATAAGAGTTGCCTTGGTCATGGTATCTGTTCACAGGAATGGAAAACCTAAGACAACTTCAGTCAAGATTTGACACAGCATCTCAAAAACACATAACTACTTCCTGGTCCCTACGTTTATTCTAAGCATAGTTAGCAAGATTTGCACAAGTTTCTGAACCCTAACATGGACCAATCTGATGGAGGTGAGACATGATGGTACTATCCCAACCCAAAATTTTGGAGATTCTATGACACCTCACCCCAACTTCACTTGCTCAGAAAGCTTGGGGTTCACCAGCAAAATCTGCATCAGATTAGAGACCATCTATAGTCCACTAGGATTTGTTTAGGGCTGTTTAATAGCCACACAGATAAGATAGGAAGAACAGAAGGCATTTAGCTCCACACAGAATGACCCACAAGGGGGTGCACCTCCAGAATTAAGACATGAAAGTCTTCCTCTTTATTTCAATTCGTAAACATTACTCTAAACTGTAGGAATCCAGATACCTTATTTACAGAAGCTACAGAGCAGAGTTGCTGGACAGTCTGCCTTTGGGATGGTTTGAAAACAATACAAGATGAGCATATGCAAACCTTATCAGTTTCCACACAGCACGCTTCAGAGGGCAATGGGTCCACCCATACACAACACAGAACTGCAATAGGTTTCTCAGAACTAGGCACAGGCTTCAAAAGGGAAAAACCATAGGCAAAACATGGGCCTGTCAGAAACTGCACATAGGCAACGTTCCCAGCCACAGGTCCCAGGAGCCATGAGAGTGCTGGGTACATGGCTGAGTTTGAGGTAATGAGAATAGCCCCCAGGGCTGCAAGGAGCTCTTCCCACCCCACCCCCAGGCCCAAGCATACCCCAGAGGGGCAGAGACTCTGAGTTGAGGAAAGTCATTGTCACCAGCTGTGAAGGAAAGAGATCTTCCACTCCCGACTGCTTCACCCACTGATCTCACACAATGGACAAAAAGAAGAGAGAGAAAAACCAGAGTTGGAAAGTTCTACCTGACAGGAGCTGAGACTTTTGATCCCAGAAAACCACAGCCTGAGGCCATCCTGTGAGGGAGCACTGAGAGAATCTGAGCCTAGTCTTCCCTCCTCCTCAGAAGCAAGCTCCTGTTCCCCTGAACCTGTTACAGACGAACCAGAACGCAGGGCATACCCACTCGCATAGTCCAAATGTCAACCCCCTGGTACCAGAAGCAGGTGGGAAGTGGGGAGAGGGGCTTGGAGGGAAAATGGAGATTCCCCATTACAGAAGGTTTTGGATGAATCCTTGATGTTGCGCATAAAAAAAAAATTAAAAAAAATATGATCATTTCTTCATGCAGAAAAAATACTGATTGAAGACTCTGTTATACCAGGCACAGTTCTAGGCACCAGAGACAATGATGTGGGGCAAAAAAGACAAGACATTGTGTTTTACTGCATGGAGAGAGAAGGTATACATAGGAATTCATGCATAATTGAAGACTATGATTAGTATCAGGAGAGACACTCAAGAACTTTCCTTTTGATAGTATGACAGTTCAGAGCCAAGACCCAAAAGCCAGTCAGGCACAGCTAGGGGAGTCCCTCCTAAACAGAGAGCATAGAAAGTCCACAGTGCAAACTAGACAGGGAACTGCCAGAGCAGTGGTTTCTCAACCTTCCTGACACTGCCACCTTTTAATACAGTTCCTCATGTTGTGGTGGCCCCACCCATAAAATTATCTTCACTGCTACTTCTTAACTGTGATTTTAACTACTGTCATGAATGGTAACGTAGATATCTGTTTTATGACGATCTTAAGGGACTTCTGTGGAAGGGCTGCTCAACCCTGAGGGGTCATGACCCACAGAACCACTGTCCAACGGAAGGGGAAATGAAGATGTACTTAGTCAGGCCCGCTCAGATCAGCGCAGAACTCTGGAGACCTGAGCATGAAGACTGGATTAATGGGGGGGGGGGAGAGAAAGGCCAAAATCCAAAGTCTTTATGTAGTCTGTCACCTGTCACCCTGATTGCTAGTGATATCTCTGGCTTAACTTGTTCCCCTTCTCTACCCAAAGGACCCCACATCATCTCTATGCACCCTTCATTCCTACCTTTTGCCTCAGAATGTTGTTTTCTTTTCCTCTGGGGAAGGAACTGACGTAGCCAAATTCACTCGGAGCCCACTGTCATTCTGAGACATAAGAGAACTTTACACCAGCATTTTTGAGTCACGGGGCCACCTTCAGTAGACCCCTTCTGTCTACAACCAGTTGTGCAATTCTCTGGGGCCTCCACAGTTGTTAGCTCCTAGGGACTGCAGGGGCCCAGGGCGGCAGGTGCTGTACAGGACAAAGCAGGGGGTTGGGGGGGGCACATAGCTGAAGAACCAAGAAGAGTATAAGGCTCCAAGGGGAGAATAAGTCAGTTTTCTTTAAGAGTGTAGCCCCTAGTGGGCAGACTAAGCTGCAGTGGGTGGCCCCACACCCATGAGCACATGAGCAGCACGCACTGGAGTCAAGAAGTCATTAAAACAAACAGAGCACAAGAAGTTCTGAGGAGGTGGATCTGTGTGTGTGTGTGTGTGTGTGTGAGAGAGAGAGAGAGAGAGAGAGAATATGCTCAAAATAGAGAGAGAGAGAGAGAGAGAGAGAGGGAGAGAGAGAGAGAAAGAGAGAATATGCTCAAAATAGAGAGAGAGAGAGAGAGAGAGAGAGAGAGAGAGAGTAAGAAATCCTCAAAGAATGAATGAAAATATCAGTTTTGCGACTGAGGGGCTGGAGAGATGACTCAGCAGTTAAGAACGCTGGCTAGTCCTCCAGAAGCCCCGAGTCCAATTCCTAGCACCACAACTATGTCTGTAATTCCAGTTCCAGGGATCTGAGACCCTCTTCTAGGCTCCACAGGCACTACGCATGCTCACAGTATATAGACATACATGCAGGCAAAACTTCCATATACAAAAATAAAATTTAAAAAGAGACAAGTGGTTATGCCGAGCACACAGTGAGTGTACAATGTATCATTCTTATTGGCGATAGTATGTTAAAAATATGCTATAGTTTGAAATAAAACCCTCAACTTATCTCCATAGATTATACACATAAGCATACTATTAATTATGGAGCCACCATAGTCTGGTTTGTGGGATGATTAGAGGTACAGGACATTATGGATGTCTTGTTATAGATGGAAAAACAACCACCACGGTTCTGCACAAGTGGACTTTGCAACCCAATTCATGAATGAACTCAAACTTAAAAAAAAAATGTTCTAATTATAAAACATAAGAAAATGAATCTGTAGCTGCAGTTTACGAAGAGATACAGCTCTGCCTTAATCCTGAACACAATTTTAGCAAGACGATAACTTGATAGGAAGAGCTAGAGGTCATCTAATCTGGACCATCCTAAACACCACTATCCTACTACAGATGCAGAGAAGGAACAAAAAAAGAAAGAAAACTAATTCGATGACGTATGACAGAAATCAGTCACATTTAGTTTCTAGAAAGGAAAAATTTAAAAACAGTCTCAAGAAACCAAAAGGATAAAAAGCAAAGCTGGGATGAGACTGGCCATTTTGTGAGGCCCATTAGAGTCCCTACTGACACTGGGAGACAGAAAATGTGATCTCACCTCCTTCTGTTCTAGAGAATTCAATTTGGGTCTACATTCCTTCTTTGAAAGCTTATGCCTGGTTTCAGGCCACTCTCCCTGGCCAGCACCAGAAGGAAATTAAAATGTGTGTGTGACCTCACCCTCCCCAGGACCCCAGCCTGACAGTAAGGCTTTCTCTATAGCCAGAGTTCTCTTAAAACAACAAAAAGAAGTGGCTTTGCCCAAGTTAGTCCGCTCTCAGCTGCAAGTTTGCCAATATGAACAGACTCTGATTCTTTATTAGCCGCTAAGGGTTTTAGGAATAGCAAACTGGTGTCTTTTGACGTGGGACCTCTAACAGTTACAGAACCCTCTGAGGATCAGGCACAGTTAGGAACAACACAGGCAGACTTGCAAACACCTAACCTGTCTGGGTAGCTTTACTGGCAACTTTAAGGATTCATGAAACACCTGGAGTTAGCCTAAAGCTGCCCCACTTTAAGATTTGCAGCTAGAGCACCTTCAAAAGCCCAGCAGGTAAAAGTTGTTACTGACAAAGTCTGGTAACCTGAGTTTGCTCTACAGAATCCACATAAAAGGTGGCAGGAGAGAACCAACCCAACAGAGTTGTCTTCTGACATCTATACTGATACCTAGCACATATACACATGTACACACACATAACACACATACTCACATACCACACACACACCACACCACACCACACCACACACACACACACACAGACACACACACACAGAGACACACACACACAGACACACACACACACATGCACGCACATCAAATACTGCTGAATTAATATTTTTTTTAAGAGAAAAGCTGAGAATTAGTCAGGTGAGACTTAAAGGAATTCTCATGTATCAGAACTGGGATTAGGGAGGCAGCTCAGGGGCAAAATGCAAACTTGAGAACAGGAAGCCGAACTCTCAGAACCCACCTGAAGCCACACATGGTGGCCTGCATCTGAAATTCCAGCACTCCTACAGGAGATGGGAGGCAGAACTGGGAGAATTTCCAGACGCTCACAGGCCAGCTAGCCTGGTGTACCCAGCAATGGCAAACAACAAAAAGACCCTGCCTGAAAATAAGATAAAGGTGATGGCCAGTGCCCAAGGCTAACCTCTGTGGCCCATGACTACCTACCTTCCATAGGACTAGAAACAAACAGAAGCTTAGATCATGAAAACAAGTCCAGTTCTATGCCTCAAGTATTTCCAAATACCAAGTGGGTTTGCTTTTGGCACCACTACAACTCTTTTTTTCTTCTTTCCTTCCTTCCTTTTTTTTTTCTTTTTTTCCCCCATAAATAAAATACTCCATAGAATACCAGTATTCTAAACAGATAAAAAAAATATTCTACCCAGGCGATAGTGGCACATAACTTTTATTCCAGCACTTAGGAGGCAGAGGCCAGTAGATCTATGAGTTCTGGGCTAGCCTGGTCTACAGAGCAAGTTCCAGGACAGCCAGAGAAACCCTGTCTAGAAAAAAGAAAACAAAAGAAAAAAAAAGGGAGGGAGGGAAGGAAGGAGGAAAGATATTCTAATGGAAAAAAATGCAGTAGACCTTCAAGTGTTACCATGGAAGAGGGAACAGAAAGGTTGTAAGAACCAGCGGCAATGGAGAATTGAGACCAACAGTGTCTTCCGGGTGACAGAATCACTGCACTCGTGAAGGCACAGCAGCTGTAGTTGCTTACTCAAGACCTATATAATCTGAATAACCTCAACTCAGTGTGAGTGGAGCACGGATAGGTGAGGAGCCATCAACAGTGGATGGCTTCTGGGTGAAGGAGTCAGTTTTCTTTCGGACTGTGGGACCTGGTAGGTTGACCATGTTACTGTGGAATACTGTGCATGCACATTCATGTTCATACAGGCAGCATCAATCTGACACAGTAGGTTATTTAAAAAAAACATGAAGTTGGAAAGGGGATATGATGGAAGAATCTAGGCAGGAGAAGGAGGAAGTGTGTTGAATACTCTTAAAATATAGTGTGTGTGTGTGTGTGTGTGTGTGTGTGTGTGTGTGTGTGTGTGAAATTCTCAAGGAATCAATTCTTAAAACTGTATTAAAAGAAAAAAAAAACACTTAAACCTGTGTCCCGTCTTTTTACATCCTCGGGGGTATTTTTCACTCCAAGGAAGTCATCTGAAAACATGTACTGGGACAACTCTGCCAGTCTGTTAAGCTATGCTTCGGTTCTTGTAGGGCCTTGAAATTCCCCAGTCAAATCCTAGGACCATCAGCCACTCAGAGAATAGTTCTGATATACTGTACTAGCTGGTTTGGTGTGTCAAGTTGACTCAAGCTAGAGTCATGAGAGGAAGGAGGAAACGTCTCCCTGAGATCCAGCTGCAGGGCACTTATAACTGCAAGACAATTTCAATCAGTGATCAATGGGGGAGGGCCCTTCCCATTGTGGGTGGGGCCACTCCTGGGTTGATAGTCCTAGATTCTCTAACAAAGAAGGCTGAGCAAGCCTGTAAGCAGTGCTCCTCCATGGCCTCTGCTCATCAGCTCCTGCCTTGAGGTTCCAGATCTGTTCGTGTTCCTGTCCTAACTTTCTTTTGATGATGAACCATGTAAAAGTATAAGCCAAATATACCCGTTCCTCCCCAACTTCCTTTTTTGGAGATGGAATTTGTTGCAGCCCTAACAAAGGCACATACCAATCTCTCGACCGAGCTGGGAGTTTTTCAGAGATCCCGCAGAAGAGACGACGGCACACCTGTGCCAAGGGCCAGCCTTGGTTCTAAAGTTCTCCTTGGGCAGGTAACCCTCCCATTCAGTGGTATTGAAGGGAAAATCTGTGGCCTCTATCATAGACACGTTCACATGGTCTCGAAGGTGACAACGCAACGCTTCTGCACTGAACTTGACTCCTGGCCCCAGCCCCTTGTAGGAGACTTTATATTTATTCATGTTCAGATAGTTCCTCCAGATCTTCAGCAGCCTGGGGTTAACTTTTGAGTATGTGGAGTCTTTATCCCACACCTGGTAGGAGGGCTGTGGTTTGACCTTGGCTGTGACCCTCGGGTTACTGAGGATCTGAATGCCTTCTTTAAGGTCTTGTTTGCTGTTTGAGAACACAGCCTGGGATGCAGGCCCCATGGCGGCTTTCTCCTGGCTCTTCGGCATCTGGAATTCCTTGGCTTGCAATGTAAGAGCCTCATAATCGTTCCCTTTCTTCCACACACAGATGACTGCAAACAGGAGAAAGACCAGGATGAAGCAGCTGAACTTTTTCTTCAAGTTGGTATGAATCATAATGAATGGTACAGGCAGGAGAGCCACTGTTTGGAGCAGGAACCAAGCCTATTAAAAAACAAACAAACAAAAGAAAAACAAACAAACAAACAAAAAAACACAGAGCAAGGGGAAGAAAGATGATGGTGAGTATATCCAAAGGGCAGGGAGGTGATGGGCCAATCGAAGGCTCGAGTATAAAATCTAGCACAAGCAGGCTTGAAGTCCAACCTGACTGCCTCCCATCACGGATGCAGCCTTGAGCAAGTCAGAGTAGGGAAACAAGACTTAGTTTAGACTTTGAATGTAGGCAGCATTCCTCTGAGCATCTTACTGAGCCATGAATATTTATGCATCTCTCCACCCTTAGTGCACCATGGTTGTTGGCTTCTGGTGCTTTCTCTACTCTAGCTCACTCGAGAATCTTAGATGAGAGCCTTTCACATCATTTCACCCTCTAGCCCACGCTCTCTGCGGAACAAAGACATGTAGGCTTGAAAGCAACAGTAAAGGGGGAACAGGCTGACCAGTCTATACACAAAACCCAGAGTCTCTTAAATCCTACATGAGTTAAAAGAGCCAGAGAAATCCCATGCAGCTGTAATCCAGTTCTGTGAGTGCTATGATCCGGGACTTCTAGACCACAGGTTAGCCCCATAGTCCACCATTCAGTGTACCTGAGAAGCTAGATCATTTTATGACAGAAGATAGGAAATCTTGGTGAGATAGCTAGGATGGCCGCTTCATATCTGGGCTCTTCATATTTGCTTTCTCAGAATCCACTGAGTAACTAAGCAGAAGACAGAAACACTCTGTACTCAAATAAGGTCTGTGTCCTTTGGAAAACACTAAATTCTTTCCTCTTCCGAGTCTACTCATCAGGATGAGTCAGAGCAATTGCCCCTGGGGCTTTGCTTACCCTGTGAGTCTGAAGTTTTCCTACCAAACTTGTTCCTGAGGATGTTTGAGATAGCAGTGGTTCTCACCTGTGAGTCTCAACCCCTCTGAGGGTCACGTCATCTCAGATACCCTGAATATTAGATATTTACATTATGATTGCTAGCAGTAGCAAAAATCACAGTTATGAAGTAGTAATGAAATAGTATTATGGTTGGGGGTCACCACAACCTGAGGAACTGTATTACAGGGTCATAGCATCAGGAAGATTGAAAAAACACTGGTTTATACTCTTTGCACCGAAGGACTGAAATTTTAATCGGGATCAATAAACAGTAAGTGTTGACCATCAGAACTTAGTAATCAGAGTGTCCAGAGATGAAACTCCCAGTCAGAGCAAAGTGTCCTTCACCAGCTGTCATGGGGGGCATCATTTACCAGGGGCTCTTAAGTGTTACAATAACTAGCATGGTGCTTTGAAATGAACAGGGAAGCTCCCATGAGCTCCATGTGCAGGTCTGAAAAACACATGTAATTCTGAACTTGAGTGAGTTATGTAGAAATGACAAGCTAGAATGTGACTTACAATTCTAAGGGAGAGGAAATGGCAGCAAAGGTGCCACTTCACTGTTACAAGAATGGCACCTCAGAGAAGGCTGGCACGGTCTTTCCTGGGATACTTAGGAAAAAGCAGCTTCCACGGATGATCTCACTGACAGTCTCAGTGCCCTCAGCTGGCCTGGGTCTTCATGGCTATGATGGACATTCTTGGTTGTCAACTTGACTATATCTGGAATTAAGTACAATCCAGAAATGGAGGGCACACCTGCGATCCAAATCCTTCTTTGGCATTGGAGCCTACTTCTCAGGGATTCCAACGTATACAGAAGACCAGATGAGACACCCAGCTTTGGGAACTGAGCAACTACTAAATTCTTGGATTTTCCATTCACAGCTGGCTATGGATGGATTAGTTGGATTGCAGCCTATAGGTCATCCAATAAATTCCCTTTTTATGCATATATAGAAGAGATCCATTCCGTAAGTCCTGTGACTTTAGAGAACCCTGAATAATACAATGTCCTTAACACATTCATCTGGAACCTTCCATCAGTGCTTGTGTGGTCCCTCCATATTGTCATCACCTATGACCAGCTGGGGTTCCAGGCACAGCCACTCAGAGCTGAAGGGCCTATTGTCACCTGCCTAGTTCTTTGAGCAAGACAGACACCGAAGAAGAACTTACCTAATACCACCACAGGGAAAAGAGGAGCGACCCATAAATTTTCCTATCACCAGACATATTGTAACCTTCCAGGCTTTGTAACTCTGCCCTTGACTTTTACCACAATCTTGTTAGCAACCAGTGTTTACAAAGCTTGGGTTTTGTGCCCAAGCTAGCCCTTATGCCAAAGGAAAATGCTTCCTTGTATCCTTTCTGTATAATAAAACAATTGACCCCAGAACCTAACCTGGAACATGGTCAGGCTCAGTAAGAGATTATGAAGCCGAAGAAACTGTATCAATGAATATCATACCTGGAGGAGACTTCTAGAAAAAGAAAATCGCAATCACATACATTACCACCCACGGAGACCAAGCCAACACTAGACAGGCACTAAGGAGAGTCTCTGTAAGTAAGGATTTCGGCCTTCCTACTCCTTGAGGCATGTTTAATGTCAGATGCAATGTCAAATGTCAAAGGCATATAAACATTCTCATAAAAGGCTATCAGTTATAGAACAATTCAGACTTTCTATCTGCAGCTTATAGAGACGGCAAGCCTGCCCTCCACACCTTCTCGGCCCTCACTAAACAAGCATTTAGAAGATTAGAAAAGGAAGGCAGAGAGAAAGCAGGGAGGCTGTGGTGAGACAGTAAAGAGCCAAGCGCTTGCCAGCACAGTCCGGGGCCCCTATGTATTTACTCAAGAATGTCCCCCTCTACTTTTTCAAGTCTCTAGCAATTTCTTACCTGCTTCTGGCGAATCCCTCTGGGGCTGCGGGCCCTCCAGGTCCTCAGGAGCCAGCACTGTTCTCCATGGGAAAGAGGTTTACTTTACTAGGTCTGGAGGCCAAGGCTCATTTTTCTCAGGATGATCAAAAACCATCTGAAATACAAATATAGGAGGAGGTTAGACTATTTTTCTAGCAGAGTGGCGTTAAACATTAACAGGATGGAGGGACACTTTTGTAAGTGTGGGCATATCCCCGGAAGAACGAAAGGCCAATCACACATGAAATACTCAAGATCTATGAACAATCCGGAGAGCCTAGAGAAAGATTCATGACAGATAAGAATGTTCTAGAAAGAGGAGGTGGGCATTGCAGAACCTTCTGGAAAGGAACAGATGATTAATCTCTCCTAAAGAATAAATAGCATAACAGTTCACTGCCCACCCCCTAAAAACCTCCAGATATATTTTTAACATGGGTTACAGAACTGCAAATACTACTTAAATTAAAAAAAAAATCTTTAAGAAGAAAAAGCACTAGGAGAAAAATGGTACCTAGGGTAGTAGAATGAGGGACAGCTCCATCCTTGACTTTTTAAATGCAACGAACAATGTCTAGATTAGACAAGAGTTACTCTTTGAGATTAAAACAAAACAAGACATGAGTTATACGTCAGTGGTAGAGTAACTGTGTGGTAAGTACACGTCCCTGGGCTTGATCCCCAGCCCACCAAAAATTAAAAGCCAAGCTTTATGCAGTTAGTATAGCATATATAATGTTTTAAAAAGTAAAACCAGAATTCACTCTATATTTACTCTTTCCAGTTGTGATGCTATATAAAAAAAAAAAAATCAAAGGTAAAGCTAAATAAATTTTTAATTGCAAGAAAATTTAAATTTCCATACAATGAAAAATATAATAAAACAAAAGGGGAAACAGACTCAATGTATAAGGCAAGGCTCATATGGAGACTGAAGAGGTGGTCAGCAGTTAACAGCACTTGTGCCTGTGGGTGCTAGGAACCAATCTATAACTCCATTCCCAGGGGATCTAACGCCCTCTCTTGGCCTCTGTGGGTACTGCACACATATAGTACATACATACACACACACACACAGACACACACACAGACACACACACACAAGCTAAACACTCATCCATATACAAAATAGGAAATAAAAAATAATAAAAATAAAAGACTAATATGGTAAAAAGCCTCCCAAGAGGTAGGCAGCATGAATAGATAAATCATAAATGAAATACAACAGTTGAGAAGCAGGTGACATGTAAGGTTGATATTTTTAAACTTTTATTCTTCTCTCATACACTATATTTCCACTGCAGTTTCCCCTCCTGCCACTCAACCCAATCCCTTCACCCTCCCTCCTCCTCCCCCAGATCCACTCCTCCTCTGTTTCCCTGCAAACAAACAAAACTTAAACAAACAAAAATAAAGCAGGTCTTCCAAGGATAACTACCGAACATCGCGTAACAAGTTACAATAAGACTGGGCACAAACCTTCATATCAAGGCTGGACATGGCAACCCAGTAAGAAGAAAAGGGTCCCAAGAACAGGCAAGAGTCAGAGACATTGCACCCCACTATCGTTGTTGGGAGCACTACAAGGACTCCAAGCTATGAAACCATTAGGTACATGCAGAGGAGTTGGCTCAGACTCATACAGTGTCCATGTTTGTCGCTCCAGACTCTGTGAGCCCCTACGAGCCCTGGTTAGTTGATTCTGTGGGCCATATTTTCATGGTGTCCTCAACCCCTCTGGCTCCTACAGTTCTTTCTTCCCATCCTCTATGGGCTTCCCCTTGTTCTGCCTAGTGTCTGTCTGTGACCTTCTGCATCGGCTACCACTATTTGCTAGATGGTACCCTTTTAATGAAAATTGGGCTAGCACCTGTCTGAGTATAGCAGAATATCATTAGGAATCATTCCATTGACTTTTTTTTTTCCTTTGCCATGTGTATTTGGCTCTATCTTGGATCTCTGAACTGTCTCTACCTCTAGTTCCTGGTCATCTAGACAGTGTCAGGTGTGGGGGCTCTTTCCTGGCCTTGGCCACGAGTTGGACCAATCATGGGTTGTCCACTCCCACAAGTTCTGTGCCATCACTACCTCAGCACAACTTGCAGGCAGGACAGATTGTAGGTTCAAGGTTTTGTATCTGGGTTGATGTTCCAGTCCACTAACAGGAGCCTTGCCTAGTTGTAGAAGAAGATGGCCAGTTCCGGCTCTGTATCCCCTGTTACTAAAAGATTTTGCTAGGGTCACTCTCACAGATTTCAGGGAGTTTCCAGTGCACTAGTTTTCTATATATCACACACACACACACACACACACGCCCCACAATTCCAGTCATCTCTCCCAATACTCTCTCAACCTGTCTCTCTTACTCCTCTACCAAGCCCTTTCCCCACCTGATCCCGCCTGTTCCCATCCTCCCTGCCCAAAGTCCACCCACAAAAATCTATTCTATAACCTCTTCCCAGGGAGATCCATGTGTCCCTCCTTGAGCCCTAAGGTTAATCTTAAGGGAGACCTCCAAGGAGCAACTAAAACGTTAAAATAACAGCTTATGGACTAGACAGAACACAGCAGTCTTCAAAACAGTCTTCTACATTCCCAGGCAGATCACAATAAAATTGCCAGACAACTGAAGTAGAAGTTCATACTTTCACCTCTTGTAGAAATTACTCAAGTGCTAGGATCTTGTGACTATCGATCAAACTGCCAAAAATCTAGGGCTCAATAAACAATTAAAAAGTAGGAGATACCCATTTCAGTCTCCTGTCATGTGAAATGAGTTCCTACCTTCTGTAATTGTGGGGACTAAAAGGGAATTACCGAGGAAAAACCATGAATGCTATAAAGCAATAATATGTACAGAAAACAGGCTTTAATTTCAAACCTATTTATAATGGTGAAAATCTATTGACTGAACTTCCAAATACCCCTTGAAGTTACAACCACTTGAATGAATAATATGAATAATATTATGAATCATATGAATACATACATATGAACTTTTGTTGCTACAGATAAGAAAACACTTAAATATTTTAATGGAAACATAAAACATGTTATCTGTACACACATGATTGCAAGTATAAATCAAGCATGTTCAAGTGTCATGCCTGAAAAGTTGCTGAGGAACTGGTATTTGATGATGATGATGATGGTGGTGATGATGATGATGGTGATGATGATGATGATGGTGATGGTGATGATGGTGATGATGGTGATATTTGGGTAACTAAGGCAAACTCTTGAGGACAATATTGAAAAAACACTTCATCCTATGCAATCAACTGGCTGCATAATATCGAGCTGGCCTTGAAGCCTATCTCAGGAGACTATCAACCAGAAAAAAGGAGTGAGCAATTCTGTCACAGAGGACTAGCCGCAACAAGAATGACGGCATACCCGAAGGGTTTACTGTGGTATCCTGACAACCAGCTTTGTCACCAAAATGGAGAAGATGCTCCTTCAAAGACCACAGGGTCTATCTGGAAGAACCATTTATTTCATGAGTAGGAGCAAGACAGAAGCAATGTGAAAAACCTCCCTTTGTCCTTTACTGAAGCGTTCAGGGTCAAGGTTGGAGATTTAGCTCCGTGGTAGAGTGCTTCCTTAGCAAGACGAAAGCCCTGAGTTCAGTCCTGGGCTCAGGAAGAGGGAAAAAACAGTTCAGAGCTTCCTTTACTAATTCAGAGGATAACTGGATTTGGAGTGGCCTCCTGGGAGAGCCAGGAAATGTCTCTGACAGCTCCCACTCTACTCACAAGTTTCCTTTGTAGTATTAGTATTCACCAATGTACGGGCATCCGTATTAATTGACTGCCGCCTCCTTCCACTCCAGATATAAGAAGAGACCTTGTCAGCTTTCTTTAATGCTATTGTCAGTAACTCCAGACACTAGTTGAATGTTGGGCACATAGTAGGAGCACAGTAAGTGTTTGCTGAATGAAGAAGTTCTTTAAATGTTCTGCATATTTCAGGCATTGCTGATGAAAGATGTTCTTTCATAACCCCCTCAGAGAGCACTGACTGACCCTTGCATGAACCTCTTGCCTGCAGATGAAAGTTCCCTGCTATTTCTTAAGACATAAGCTGTCGGGACGTGAGATTTTTAATGAGTAACACCCCCAGAGATGAGAAGAAGCCACTAACTCCCAGCTCTTCCTTCCTCCTTGCAACTGCATTTCCTCAGAAAGTCTTGCCTCCCAGGAAGATTAAAAGCCATGCTTAACTGGATTCTAAAAGTGAACAAGTTGAAGCTGTCTATCTAGACCTAGCATGAGTCAGAGGGTCTCCAAAGGTCGTCACCGCCACACACGAGATGGCTGTTCTGGTGATCTTCCACCTGCCGTAAATTTGAGAATAAATCCCTTGGCTCAGGATGACAAACTATCAACTATAATGACAGAGGCAAGCTTCCAATTCAGAGCATGTGACTTGGTATCCACCAGATCTATGGAACTACCTGTGTTCTGCCTCTCACCAGTCATATGATCTTGGCTGACTTAAAGTCCAAGACTCAGCTAACTCACTGGAAAGTAGGGACAATGACTGATCCTATACCCCAGGCTTATTTATACCAAGTAAGAAGAGATGCCCCAAAGGACTGTAATGGCCTCTGTGGTAAGTGTAATGCACAGGACTTCATTGACATCGTCACTGCCTGTACTTTGTGGAGACCAATGCTATCCCAGTGTTACAAATGAAGAGACAAACCAGAAAAGGAAATTTGTCCAGGGAACTCAAGGAGAGCTCTCAATGGTCCAGACACTTTTGTGCCATTAGCTTTCCTACTGTGTAAACTGTCTTTAATGTGGGCCACACCTACTTCACCTTCCAACACCAACTCTTGACTTTCAAGATTCCCTCATTCTCATAGAGAGTAATCTGATTCTAATGTGCCTGTTCAAGCTCTCTTCAAACTATGTGACATTCCCCTGATGGTAGATTGGTAGATCTGTTCCAACCACATAAAGAACTTCTTCCTTTCAGATAAATATTAATGATCTCCTTCATCTAGTCAGACTCCAGCCCATAACTAAGAAATTCTCAATCATTTTATTATTATTGTTGTTGTTGTTGTTATTATTATCATTATTTATTTTGTTTTGTTTGAGACAGGAT